TTTTTCATACCTTGAAACTGTATCAAAAGCATTAGCCTGAAATTTTTTAAACCGATTTTGTATATTAAATTTCATCCATTGAACAAAACCAGGTGAAAATATACTATGACATTAATCCCCGAGTTAAAAATAGATCGTGTATAATTCTCTCGGTCCAATTAGATCTCATATTTGTTTAATCTCATGACGCTGTGCTTGTGATATGGTTTGAATCAAACAGTATGAAGAACAAAATTATGCGTTGCTTCCAGTTCTATTAGCTCAGTCATTTTGTTCACGGCCTAATCATTTTGTTAAAAAGAAATCTGGCCAATCAAAGTTAGTTTCTGAGACATGTTATGCGTGTAATGAGATTTGGTTATAAGAAGCTTCGTGGTTTTCTGCAAGCGTCATCGCAATGTGATCAAAGTGACGCAGGCTCCCTTAGAACTGATCTTTTTAACTGCTGCAGCTTGATAGGACTGCGTCGTTTGTTCACTTTGCGATGACTCTTGCAAAAAACCACGAAGCGTTTAATAATCAAATCTTATTAAATGCATGCGTTGTACGTCATGACACGGCTCAGAAATTGGTTTTTGATTGGCCAGACTACCACTTAACAAAATCATTAAGCCGTGAACTAACTGACTCAGCTAGTTGACCTGGAAACAACGCGTAATTTTTTTCTTCATACTTTCTTATGCAAACCATATATCATGCACAGCGTCATGAGATTAAGCAAATCTGAGATCTGATTGGCCCGAGAGAAATCTACACGATCTATTTTTAACTCGGCGATTATCTTCACAGTGCATATTGACCTAGGTATCTCACTGATTTTTTTCAGTGGATGAAATTTAAAAAAAAACACAAAATCGGCGAAGAAAATATTAGAGTAGATACAGAGGCAAACTCTAACATGTCAGTTCACATAAAAGTCAAAATAATTTGGGATTGAGAAAAAAACGAACCTGACAAAAAAAATTGAGAATCGAGGATTAAAAAACGGTTTCACTACAAGGCCATTGCCAATCGCGTGTTTATTTTTTTTTCTAACCAAGTTGATTTCGAAATAATCTTGACCTTTTATCTACAGAACATTTTCATAGTAATTACAAGCAAACCACACCGGCTGCAAGCCGAATGAAGTAAACACACTCTATTACACTATGATTCCTTGATTTCGGATAACCTGTAGCTTTTGTGTGTATAACAGTAGGCAGATTGAACAAAACAAAAAGTTCCGGAATGAAATAGAAACTCTCAGTTTCATAAACTTTTTTGCGATTTTAAAAATGACTTTGTTAAAAATTTTTGCTCCAACAAAAAATTTAGTACTGGTTCAACGATTTAGTACTGCACGATCATGAGTCGTTCAAAAGTGTCACAGTATTTGAGTCCTACAGCGGTAAAAAAAATTTACACAGATGTGGTGAAGCGGAGCATCGCATCACTTGTGACACCACCTAAAATTATCATTGCAAGCTAGCAGACAAGAAAAGAAAAGAGAGCCACGAAGTCTTAAACTTTCAAACAATTTCAGAAACTAAAAAAACATCAAATTAACGTCTAGAAAGATGTTCTATTTGCAGAAAATACGTCTAAAAAGTAGTCGACGCCTTTCTAAGAAAACTCGAATTAATTAATAGTTAGCGGCGATTTAGCCGGAAAATTAGGTTACAATTCAGTAGAGCCGGAACCAAATTTTTCGCAGATTTTTAGCAATTTTTGAGCTATGGGTGAGCATAAAAATTATACTTCCCTTGAAACAACCTTAAAAAAATGGACAGAAGACAGTTTTTCAACGATTACAAAAGAAAATCTACAAAGACAAAATTAGTATAATTGCAAACTGCAGGAATAAACCAAACCTTAAAAACAATTACAAAGCCAGTTTTGCATAAAAATAACGAAAATGCGGCAATTAAGCCAACAAAACAAACGAACAGAATATAAGTGACAGAGCGACAATTTTTTGGAAAGGAAGAATTCCCGTTTGAACAAAAAAAAATCAGTTCCCGCTCAGATTCGAACCCATTTTCTTTGCCGTCCCAGGCGTATTCGATATCTCTAGACCAAGTGTGCCGGATGCGTCATGATACTGCGTCATTACAAAACCAATCAAGATACCAAATGTTTCAAGTGTTTTTGTTCAATAAGTTAATTTGAAGACGTTCTGCTATCGATTAGATAACTCTTGCTAATCACCAGCACGGAATATTTTTTTCACTTAAGCGTTATAACTAATTGAAGTTTTGTTGACACATGATAGCTCTTCATAATAGTCATTTTGACTTTCATTATTCAAAAATTTTAGTATTTAAGAGAGTTTCATTGACACTAATTCATGAAGACAACAAATCAAACTTGTTAATGAAAATTTACGTGTTTATTTTGTGCCACTGATGAAAGTGAACTTCAAAGAAAATATACAAGCCAACAATTTGCAATTTTTCGGCCTTTTTTATTAACTATTTCGCCAAATTGAGTTGATTTTTTTAGATCATGCTTCAGCGATTAGAGAAGATCAGCAAACGAATCTTCCAATCTTTGCCCACGCACGAACACATATACACGAGAGAATCTAAAGATACTAGCAAAGAGAAGATTCAACAATCTATTATTTTTTCAAGCCAAACAATCCAGCAAAAAAAGCAACGACGGTAGATGAATTTAGGTGAGATATGGGTTTCAAAAAAAATTGAGGAGCAACAAATACCTTCCGAAAATTAGTTCAAGTTCTTTTCATACTTTATTCAATATTCGAAACTGCAATTGTGATATTATTGTAGACATTGAATTAAAAATTTTCAATCTTTTTTTCCAAAAAATTGTTTGAACCATTTTATAGCGAGCTGTACATAATAACATGCCGCGGAAATTAAAACAAACAATGGAAAAAATTGATGATGAAATTTTTTTTAATGTGTTAAACACAAGAATTACACAACCGAGTTGAGTTTCAAGTAAATTAAGTAGAAAAGAAGAAGATTTGAACAGATAGTATCTGATGGCAGCAATTTCACGAGTCACAAAATTATTGTTCGCTTTAAACACCAAATTTCAAACAATAGAACTGGTAAAAGTGACAACGATCAGAAATTTAGCTATTAAAAAATGCCGCAACCAGTACATACAACAATGCAAAAAAACGTGCAATGGAATGGGTTTATAGAAATTTGTAGAAACAATGCCGATTTTGATAGAACACTTAGAGTATTTAATTTTTTTCAAATATTACTGATGCTGAAGTAGTACCGCAGAGAAATCAAATTATTACCGCAGCCTTTTTCAAAGGTTTTTTTTCTTCGAAATTCACTTTCATTTACTGTACAAATTTAACTTAAGAGAAAACAGAAAAAACTATCGTAACCAGAAAACATGCGATCAATCATCCACCAACATAAAGCCCATAAAACAACTGTTAAACATGTGAATGGAAGCCATTTTATGTATTTACATCACTGAAGTTCTTTAAAAAAAAATTGTAACAATTAAGACGGTTGATAAACTCAGAGCAAAAATAGTTGATCAATTGCAAATTTTGGACTTACCTGTTCTGTTGCTGCTGCTTACGTTTGAATATAAATTTTATGATTTTATTTGTTTCAATGTAAGACTATTGGTTTTTAATTCGTTCAAAACATTCAATTTTCATTTGTTCAGAGCATTCAAAAATAAAGCGTTCAATTTTTTTGAAACTTTTTTTCATTCAGTTTTTGTAGTTTTATAAATAATACAAATATATTGACTAACTCAAATTTTTGACGTACAATAAACTCGAAACTGCGTTTCTATAGCTTGTAAGACTGTTTTTACTTAATTGGTATCTTTTCTTGCACTGATTAGTAATGAAATTGAGCAGAGTGCGCTGTTAAATTTACACGAAATTTTCTTGTCAGACGTTTGGTGGTTCTCAGCTTCCATACGTACACAATTGGCTTCAAGGAGCTTTCGTTTGACAAACAACTCAGCGCCTTGCTTTCTGTACAAAATAATCCGTTCAAAAAACTACATCCGAACAATGAAAAAAGGAAAGAGATTGATATTCCATGTATTTTCCGAACAATGTAAAAAGGAAAGAGATTGATATTCCGTGTACATTTTTAAGTACATCGAAATCAATAACCACAGTTAAACCTATATGTGACGACATACATTTACATTTTTAATCCTTTCAGTCATGATTTCAGTTATATTTTAAAATTTCTGATCGTTCTCTGAGTTTCGACTAAAAATGATTTGCATCCTTTGCTTTTTAATCCAATTGAGAGCAAGTGAAGAACATAGCCAATCGAAGACTGCAAAAGAGCAATGAACACAAGTAAACAATAAAAAACTTTCGAAGTTCAAATGAAACTATAGTTGAAAAAATCTGAAAAAAAAACACCCGAAGCACAAATTTTTGTTACTTTCGCTACGAAACGGGGATCAAAAACATCTGCCCTTTAAGCGTTTTGAATTTCTAAAACGATTCATGATTGTCGCTTTTTTGATAATATCATCCAAACTTGAGAAAACTAGATCAACAACTAAAAAGTTTAATCCGCTGGAAATCTTAAAATTGAACTACTTTCGAAACTGGAAATCGTTCAGGAATTTTTGCACCAAATACACGCTTGTAATTGGACAGTAATATTTACGTCATTTTCAGCAGATGCATCTCAATTTAACTCAAAAAGTGCACCTATACCTAAATGCATCAATATATTATGACTTTTTTCTGAAAAAAAAATCAGCAAGCCCTATATAAGAGTCTTCACCTTCACTATGTTCATTACTCTTAAACAGCGAAAACTGCTGATTAGGTTTTGAGGAAAGTTCCAAAATTCATTTTAGGCTTTATCAAAAATTTTCGCTTTCTGGTTTGACAGAGCGGTTTCTTTTCGAATTTCTTAAAACAAAAGTTAGGAACTTAAGTTGGCTACTACAATATTATCCAGCTTTTTAATCCGTATACATACAAATGAATCAATTCAACATTTAAATTCAGAAAATAGATTGATTTTTTAAGTTGGTTAAGCCATTGAGTCGCAGTGTTTGAATATATTCACGAAAATTTAACCTCCAAGCAGAAAACTGTCAAAACAAGCAGAACGTTAAAATGCATAACCAAATTGAACGATTTGATAAGAAGGTAGGCTAAACATTTATATACAAAACTATAAATCATTTTTACATTTCATATGCTGCTAATAATATTTACAACAGAGTTTTTACATTTTTAAGCGCCCACAAATAATGAACAAGTTTTAGTAGCTTTACTTGACGCCGCATGAATTAAGAAGCTTTATTTAGCATTTTGAAGTAAAACATAGTAGCTTAATTTAATGTCACATGATTCAGAAGAATGTTAGAACGCTCAGCGATACTGAATGCTTGAGCAAAGGCTAGACTAAAACACATGTACATAAACTTGACATTTTCACATTTAAACTGCACAGTGCTTACTTCGACAGTTTTATATATTTAGATGTCACATGCCATTCTTTAGTACTAAGTCACTCATCCCGGCATAGTGAATGATGTAATAGAATCTTTAGCTGAATGCGTATGAATTTTCATGATTAATCTTAAAGGGTAGTATGTTTCGAAAGTAGGTACCTAAGTCAAGTGCAAGCTCTAATTAGGACAATTGATTCAAGCGAAGACAAAATGCGGCAGATTGTTGACCATTGACCAAGGTAACACTGTGCTCACACCACTAAATTCTGAATCAAGGGGCTCTAGAATACACTTCGCAGTGGATATAATGCCCCGTATAATATCCAATCTTATGAGTTGAGTTAATTAGTTTGCCAATTAAATTCGTTCTCTTCAGATGTCTAGGCCTCCATTCTTCCAAGTAGTTCATTTACAGCATGCCTGGTTTGGCATACATTGGCAGGTGGTAGTAGTTGTAGCTCAAGTAGGCCAGCAGTCTGGTCTCCACACTCTTCTTGTACCCTCCAGACTGGAACTCCTTCATCAGTTTGTTCCACTCTCCAGACTTCATCTTGAACAAAAATAAACAAATAACCAAATTAATTAAGAAAAGCCGCTTCCCACCAGTTATTTTTGCAAAAAAAAATAATTTATCAATTCCATCGTTTTTTTTCTGAATGTGAAGGACGGACTAATGGTTAATTGAATACTTACAATGGCTATATATCATAAATCTTATCAAACAATAACAAAATCTTACAAACTTCAACGAGAATTGAGCCAATCTGAAAATTGACTCATCATGCTAAGGCAACAACTTCACGCCCATTTTTCCTTGAAACTGCAAAAACTCGAAATATTGATCCAACTACGACTGAAACTGCTTCATTATGACACATTACTCTACCCCATCTAACTTTTGGTGGCGGTACCTGATTTTGTTTCCAAAAAAAAAGAAATAAAACTATTAACAGAACTGAATACAAAAATCCTTCCAGTTCGCGGTCGAAAAAACTATTTCTAATAGAAAAAACTAACAAGACTGCTCGTATCAGGGCGAAGCCCTGAATGTTCCGACTGCCTTTTAAGGATTATGGAGCAGCAGTAATAACATAAAAAATTAAATGAAATAAATTAAAATGAAATTTTTTTCTTCTAAAATTTGAAATTTTTATGAAAATCATCACCCCACACGCCATTTAAAGTACAAAAAGATAGATTTCGTTCCTTGTAGCAAATCAATTATGGCAAATAAGCTTCGTTCAACCAATTTGGAACGATTTATAAGAAGGATTAAATCTCCGCTTACGCGTTAATAGCGCGAATTATATCGCGCGTTAATTGTCCCAAGTTGGTCAAAATGGCAATCTTTAAACCCTCATAACTTTACGAAAAATGATCACAAGTGAAATCTCTTTTCAAATTTAAGCTCAGGACAACAATACCTTTTGAATGATATAAAAAAATCCCGTCAAAAATTGCTAGTTAAAAAGTCGAAATTTGTCTGAAGAAAAAAAAAACCCACCCCGAGCACAAATATTCCGTTACTTTCGTATCGAAAGTCGGAACAATAAATACATTTAACTATAACTTGTTTAAAAACATTATGACTGAAATTTTTCTTGAAAATAACTTGAAAGCTAAACTTGAGAAAACAACTGTATTATTAGTAAGTCAAGCATCACTGCTTTTATTTCCAAAGCGGCACGGTACGAGTATAATATCAATGGCTATACAGTGCTGATTTAAATTAACCGGACAAAACGCGTTAAACTTGAAACTTAAAACGCATTTTTCTCAAATTAGGTTGACTTTAGGTGAAAACTTATGAAGACAAAGCTTGCTTGAAATTTTAGCAGAATTAATATGGTGTGATTTGTTTTGCGAAATTCGGGCCCAAAATTTTACCCCAAAAATGGGTCATTTTGGCGTTTCTTAGTTAATCAAAAATTACGCCAAAAAAACCCAGTCAATCACGGACATACTTATATTAAAGCGAGCCCCTTACGTAGCCCAACAAACTTTCTGAAGGATATTTTCTCCAAAATATTGTATAAGTTAATTTATTTTTGTTTGATAGACAAAAAAGGTCGTTTTTACTATATAAAATACCAACTTTTTATTTAAAAACAATTTTTAAACGGTTTGCAATTTTTTTTGGAGAATATACCATTTTTAAAGTTTGTTGGGCTACGTAAGGGGCTCACTTTGATATAACTATGTCTGTGATCGACTGGGTATTTTTGGCGTAATTTTTGATTAACTAAGAAACGCCAAAATGACCCATTTTGGGGTAAATTTTTTGGGCCCGAATTTCGCAAAACAAATTACACCATATTAATTCTGCTAAAATTTCAAGCAAAATTTGTCTTCACAAGTTTACACCTAAACTCAACCCAATTTGAGAAAAACGGGTTTTAAATTTCAAATTTAACGCGTTTTGTCCGGTTAATTTTAATCAGCACTGTACAATAAAAATGGGTTTTCAAGGTCAAAAATCAAATATCAAACCATCCGAAAGCAGAATTGCTTGTTCACATGATTTGCATGCATGACGTTTCACCAGCATAGTAGAACTCATCTTTCATCATTTTTGTTTAAAAGGAACGATTCATCATACGTGCATCTGCATCAACTTTTCTTATATTATAAAGGTGGGAAAATTTCAAGATAAGTCTTTTCGGATTTGCTCACCTCCATGTTTTCCTCGATGATGGCACGGACCTTCTGCGTGAACGAATTCATCTCACCATCTTCACCTTCGTCTCCACTTTGAACCTACACACAGATAGCCGTTAATCGCGTCAATACCTTTTTCCTTATGGTTAATTTTTTCCAATACATGCCGCAGCACTTTTTAGGTGCGAAATTGTTTACTCTGATGCATCATTCAGTTGCGCAATTTTTAAAACCATGTTTTTCCATATGACAAGCAATCGCTTTTTTTAGATTTTCGGAATTTTTCATATTTCCCAGAGAGATAAAAAACTTAGCTATCGATCCAGTTTTTTTTAAAGTTCAGTTAATTTTAGCAAAACAAGTCCAGCATAAAGTGTTCTTGAAATTCAAGCTTTAAGGCCGTCTATTTTTTGTTATGAAATTCGAGTTTTTGTCGAAAATTTTGAAATTCGAAGGTTTGATCGCAACAAAACAAAAAAATTGTCTCGTTCGAATTTCAAACAATGTTCGAATTTCTCAACGTTCGAATTTCAAACCATAAATAGATGGCCTTGAAGCCCTTTGAGTTTCAAGAACACATTATGATTGACAACTTTTTGCTAAAATTATCTGAACTTGAAAAAAAAAACGGGATCGATAGATAAGTTCTTTAATTCGATAGAAAAACTGAAAATTAAACTCAAAACTAGAATTCGATTGTTTTTCGTGAACTTTACACTTTCGCTGTTCGACACTGGAGTTTGCCCTCCTTTTAACAAAAAAATGAACTGAACTGAAAAAATTGAAAAGTCAAACCGCGAAAAAGTAAATTTGAGCTTGAACAAATTTTAAGACTTTTCCTGAAAAAAAAACTAACAAAAATCATCATGAACCATAAAAGAGTCTGAACTACGTTCATTGACTCTTACTAAAAAATACCTTAGTTTAATCAAAATGACTCACTGGAGGTGGGTTTGTGAGTATCTCTCTGATCTCGAGGAGGAGGTCTTCGAATCTGTCGTGGAACAGAGCCATGGCCCAGGGCTCCTCGAAGTAAGTGTAGAAGTCCTTGATCAGGCCCTCTTCAAATCTAACAACTCACGAAATTGAATTTGATTTGCACTTACATCGCAATAATCATGATAGTTTTTCCACCAAAATACTCATTCAAAATAGTTCCCCAAACCCCTAATCAATCTTAGCAATTTTTGTCTCGGCGTTTTTTATTTTGTCTCGGAGTTCTTCATTTTTTCTTTAAAAAGTTTTCGGCTAAATTTTTATTTACTACCATAGAAGAGATTCTATAGATTGATTGTATCTCGAAAATAAATCTTCAAATCCAGACATTGTCAAATACGGGACAACTTTCGGGAAATATTTCAACAATAGTATCGAATCAATTTTTGTCAACTGACTCTAACCTAGACACCATCCTATTCAGCAACTTCTCATTCTTCCCATACAGACACATAATATTCCCACTCCTCAAACTACTCCTCTTGTTTCCATTCTGCCCCTCCCCTCTCTTATTCACACAAGTCACTGTCTGCACTGTGCTGTAGTTGTTCACGTGGATCATAAAGTAGCCAGACTTGTCTCCTTTGGTTGGTTCCTCGGATGTGTCAAGAGAGCCTGTGACGTACTCTTTGCCCTGCAACAGGAAACGAATGCTGGCTACTCTTCATGCAATGACTTAAAATGTACTGTCTTGATTGCTACTCTTAGATGTTCTAAGCCTCACAACTTTTAAGGCTGAACGCTCCTTTTTACAAAATTTAAGATGTTATTAAATGAAAAACGGGGATGAGAAGAAATAGACCAGACTTTTGTGTTATTTTCTAACTGATATACAAACAAAAACAGCCAACTGACGGTACGCAACGCAAGTAACAGAAAAAAAACACTTCAAAAAAAAAGATATGCCCTTTAAGCTCTTTCAACTTCTAGAACAATCTATGACTGGCGCTTTTTCGATAGCATTAACCCAATTTGAGAAAACTGGAACATGAGGTAAGTTTTTTCTGTAAAGTTTTCAATCCGCTGGAAATCTAAAAATTAAATTCCACTTCCGAAATTAGAAATAGTTCACGTATTTTTACGCCATTTCCACGTTCGTTTTTGGAGAAAGCTATTTACGTCACTTTCAGCAAATGAATTAAAATGAAAAAACATGAACCCAAAAAAAAACATATATATCTAAGTGCATTCATAAATGCATTAATATGTATGAATGCACATCTGTAGTTATTAGAGCATTTTAAGACTTTTTCCTGAAAAAATAATAATAAGAGTCTTCACTAAGTTGACTACTCTTAACAACCGTATACATACATAGTTCGGTTCCTTCCTAGCTTCTTCCGCCCTCTTCAGTAAGTCCGGCTTCCTCACACACAAGTACTCAAACTCCCCCGGCAACACACAATACACCACAGTTGGCTTGGAATAAATCGGAATCATGTTGTTCAGCTGCTGTCTCATGTTGTCGTCTTCCCCTTCAAGGTCGAAGTCGTCTTCCGTGTCATTGGGTTGTTCAATTGTGGGGTCAAACAGACGAAGCATCGAGTGGGCCAGCTAAAAACGCAGATTTCACAAAAACTTTTTGAATTGCCCATGTGAACAAAACGCTCTTCTAAATAAAACCATGAGAACAATTTTCCCCCTATTATTAAATGACAAATTCAATCAGTAAGGCCTGCATGTACTATGCATAAATCTGATTGCTGATAGGAGCGCAAAAAGACTTATACCCAACAGAATTTCCGTGCTCATATTTACTTTTTAACTATAAAATAGGAGCAATCGACACACTATTTAAGCATTCTACAAAAACCATTACACTACAAAGAGATCACAATCAAATAAGCAAACTTGCCTCCGACCCCACTTGGTGTGAGTTGAAGTTGGCGTGACTCCACTGGTCTGCGTGGTATCTCCTGCTGAATTTGGTGAGGGGTCCAGCCGCCCTGACACAGACATCGTTGGTGTGGAAGTCACTGTCAATCACCAGGCGACTGTCGAATACCAGACAGCTGTCATTCACCGCTGAAATGTTCGACATGCTAGAAAAAAGGAGTTCTCAGAAAGACGAAACTGTCAAAATTGTCAGTTAGAGGAAATTGTCAGAAGAAATTGACCAAATTTATGGATTTTGCCAGTAAATTATGAACTATTAATCCAGGATTTTAGATGGCGACTATTGTTACAGAATACCTAGCAAAAGCAACAATCCAGCACCCGAGTATGACACTAAATCAAACAAAATTTAGCATTATTTCATTTAACATATATATCATAATTATATCATACTATTTCTGAAGTTTTCATGGAATAAATTATTAAAACATAAAAATTCTAAGAAATAGTATGAAAAAATTAGGCAACCGAACTTTTTTTTAGCTATTTTAACTTTTTAAATAACTAACACGGATACCCTAAAGGATCGTGCTGACTTACCCTTGAAAGCGTGGAAGTCGACCCTCTTATCCTGGAATGAGATCACACACTGACAAGAATAACTCTCCCACTCCCCGTCCACTTTGAGAGACACTTCACACACTGGGTGATCAGGGGTGGAGTCTGACTGTCGCCAGCTGTACAGCTCACACTTATCCAACACACGCACGCCATTCTTCGTCAACATTGAATCGACTTGTTCTTCAACCTATAACACAATCGAAGAGTCATTTGAAAAATCCCAGGTTTTGTACTCAACTGATCAAAACGCCACTGATAAGCCGAGAACTTTTTTTCAACCCTAAACGCAGTTGGACGAGCTTATCTGACTGCAGCTGTCATGGGATAACATGTTCGAGCTTTATCGGAGACAAAAACTATTCTAATTCGTATCATTCTGAAAACTGATCCGAACTGTTCCCTCCATCCGATTCGCTCGCAAATATTAACCTCGTGGTTATATAGTGTGATAGCGTGTGGTTACGAGCTCTCACTTGACCTCTAGCTTCAGGTCTACCACAGCCTTACCAATTTCGGCTGCAGTAGTGGTACCACGTGAAAGTTCTGAATGCAAAAAAATTGAATTTGAGTCGCAAAAAAAAGAATTTCGCTCAACAAAATAACACTATCTGAATGTGGGATAATACAAATGGACTATCCTTGACAGGACTGCTAAGGCCTACTGCTTCCTCGGTGCTGGGGATTTTAGCAGACCGGTTTTTTAGCAGACCGGTTTTTTAGCAGACTCAGAACAATTATAAAAAGCTTACTTCAAACGCGGCATTGTCTATTAGCGACCGCTTGCTGCGCTGCGCTTCAATTCAACACGAGTGTTATTGTGGGTGGCGTCCCTCATGCTTGAAGGCCCGAATGCTTGAAATTAATTTTAGCTTACTTTCAGCCAATCAGAGTTGAGTATTCAAAATCTAAAAATAAATCGCAATAATCTCAAAGTAAGGAAATAAATCCAGGCCATTAGTGTTAATATTGACCGATTAGATAATAAGCAGATGAGTTTCAAGACTGAAAAATTCTTATGATTTTGAACTCATTAATCTTGATGATTATCTGAATAGTAATGCGGTTGTAACCCGCAATTTGTAATATTTTTGATTATTTTCCACTGATTTAATACATTTTCTGTTAATATTGACTTCGATATTGTGAGAAAGGCATTTAGCCAATAGAAACGCTTAGCTATTTTGATTGGTTGAAATTTTTCAAGCATTCGGTCCTTCAAGCATGAGAACCCTCCTCGTTATTGTGCGCGTAAAACTTTATTTTGCCGCTAATTTAGGCTGTTGTGTGTTTGAAGTTGATAGTTTAGTTGACAAAACGTGAGATAATTGTCTTAATTGGGGAAGTTTGGCCCCAGACTGAGCGTTTCTTTGAGTCTATCAATCAAATATCCATCACTTTATTACGTTGGTCGGCTAAAAGACTCATTTTTTAATTTTTATGCCAAAAGATTGGTCTGCTAAACGATCGGTCCCCTGCTTCCTCCTCTGCAATTCCCAGGAACCACATTATTTTTTTCTTTTATTTCATTTAAATAACCCCAAATATCTAATTGGTTTCGCACCTCTGGGTTGTTGAAGCAAGTGGGTTCGCCCTCTTCCAACTCCCTCCTGGCCAGAATGATTTTGTCCCCCTTCACTCCATTATTCAGCAGCATCCTCACACACCCATACATGTCCACTGTACCCCCTCCTAAACAAACAATTTCAGTGAAAATTAAACAATGGAGACAAGAAAAATTCCATTTTTTTAACCATACATTTTTCTTAATTTTTTTGCAGAATTGAACGAAAAATTGCAGAAAGAGGTTCCTCAATTTTCAAAACAGATGTTCAATGATCGAAATCAAAAAAAGAAGATATTACCTAATACTACCACGTGATCAGTTGATGGCGCAGTGAGGTGGGTGCGCACATAGTAGAGTAAATGGTCTGCTTCAAAGTCGTCGTTGATCGTGAACACATTAGGGGGAGCAGAGACTGAAAAAAGTGCAAACTCAAACACTGATGAAATCTTTTATGAAGTAAATCTTTTATTGCTACCTTCATCAACCCAAAACTGGTTTTTACAATTGAATGCTAAGTTCATTGAGCATTAAAAGGAGAAATATTATTTGAATCACTATCACTTATAATCATCTAACTTGTTTCAAATGACATTTGATTTTCTGATCTTGCAGCGTTACATGTCACAACACAAACCATCAGTTACACCCCTTGGGGGTTTATTCTCATCACAGAAGAACCGAACGCACCAAAAAATTCAGTCATCAACTTTCTTCAAAAATTCGAAAAATGACTGATTTCCCAGCTTGATTCTTTCAAATTCATTTATAATACTAAACTCTGATTGGCTAACATAATTTTCTAGCATTCGATACTTCTGGCTTAAAGGATCAATAAAATTGAATACAAGCCATTAGCGGCGTGAAAGTTCTGAGAGATTAAACTGACCTTCAAGAAACCCTTCCATAGAATAACCTATAGAGTACAAAATATACTAAATTAAGGAACATCAGTTTTTCCGATACTTTCTAAAGTATTTCAACAAACCATTCAATAAAAAACTACTACAGCTAGTTTCAGAAGAAACCGTCCTTCCCAACGTTAATAAATTTGAAAGATAAGTGATGGATTAATTTTAAAAGCGTACTTGCATATTGGCTAAATGATGCACTTTTCTTAGTCAGCAGTTACACCACTTAACCGTTGAACCAATCCGCAGGTTAATTAATTAAGCCTAACTTGAAAACCTGCAAATTGTGGCGCACATGCGAATTTCGAACTGACAACCAAATGATAGCTTGCAAACTTCACTACCACTTGTGCCAAAATTAGAAATTAAAAGTTTTAGAAATAGACAACAGTTACACTCTACTCACAGTCCTTCCTGATCTCGTCCTCATCTTTGTTTCCATACATGCCAAGTGGGAATGGGATCTGGTACTGGTTGCCAGTGGCCAACACCAGATGGTCATAAGAGAGTCCCTCCAGTGCGCCTGTTAATTTAAACTTTTTTCTCCACTATCGTTTTCCTATACTTGACAAATCAAACACAGGCGAAGCTGAGCTTCGCACCACTTGCAATACCGAAACAAGAAAGCTGGTTATTGGGAAAAAAATTGAAAATGTCGAAAAAGCTAGATCCATCAAAATGAATAAGGCTAGTTTTGAAAAAAACTCCAAGGCAATAGAATGTGAAATTTGTAAGATTTTATCAGGCGTCAGAAAAAAAACTTACAAAGCGGTAGAAAACCAAATATCCTAAGAACATACGAATGAGGCTACCATGCCGATATAATATAGGCAGAAATCTATTCAGCCTAAAAAAAGAAATTGAAAAAAAGCCGCAAAAATTCAAAAGAAGTTATTGCAGGGTGACCAGTGTCTGAGAAGCCACAGGCACTTACGGCACTGATATTCGCACAGATAAAAATAAATACCAAGAACTGACATATTTTGAAGAACTAGCCTTTCTAACGACTCAGTAAAAAAGCTCGGCGATGAAAAAAACTCGTGGCACTGATTTGGCACTGACTGCACTGATACCGCGGCCACCCTGCATTAAGTCCCCCTCCTACTCAAAAGACACATGCAAAAACAAACTTTTTTCGCTCGTCAACAGACGAAATATGAAGCTATAAAGCCAGTTAAATATAAGCCAAAACTTATCAAGTGGAAGAAAGGAAAAAAAAAACCGAAAAAATATTGTTGTTGTGAAATCAATACGTAATGAGCAAAAAAGGAGGCATCAATTTTTATAATGTCGTGCATCAATGCACCACCTACTCAAATATATAATGTCTTCTCAGAAATTATGACAAGAGAAACCTCAGCGCCTACACAAAGCAGGTGGCTTGCATCTGAAGAAGAACATTTGAGACTTCAACATTTCAAGATAACTTTTTACTGTTTGTCGCATCTTAGTTAAGAGATATCGATATTTGACATTTTGTTCAAGCTTTCTAACCTTTGTTGTGGAGTGTGGACTGAATGTGTATGCGCTTGCTCTTTCTGTCTATGTGGACCATGTTGCCAGTGACCACTGTGACCCAACTGCGAAGACACATTCGAGAGAGACGCTCACGGGTGAAACTCAGGCTGTAAATAAATCAACACTTAATCATCAATGATGTTGTAAATGACTGTTAAAGCCAATGAAAATGAACATAGCCAATCGAAGATTGGAAAGGATTAAGGAAAGCAAGTAAGCATAAAAAACAAAGACTTTCTTGAAAAAATCTCATCTTTCGAATTTCAAAGAAAAAAAAGATGCCCTGTAAGCTCTTTGAATTCATAGAACAAGTAAAGATTGGCGCCTTTTTGATAACATTAACCCAACTAGAGAAAACTGGAGAAAACTAGTTTTTATTCCGCTGCAAATCTAAAAAAATAAATTCCACTTTCAAAATTAGAAATCGATCATGATTAACCCCTAAAACTGTTAACCATTAGAATTGGTCATTTAGAGCAAATAATATCAAAGATTACACAGAGACAAAGCTTCGAAAACACTAACCAGAACACGACAAAACGTAGCTCTATAAAGTGCAATACAAAAAATTACAAATAAACCTCGAATTAGTGAAAAAAAAATTGGGCTACGTGTGAGATTTGAATTTGCGACCTAGATATTAAGATTCTCACACACTAACCATTGAGCCAATCTTAAAAGGCACAAATATAAACAGAACAGATGCTATGCAATTTTAATGCTACATTGAAATTTCAAAATAAGTGAACACTTTTAATGAACACTTATATTTGCGAGTTAGAAAAAAACAAGGTTTGTAAAAAATACACCAAGCTGATCGCAAGTGTAACCAAAACAAGAATAAAATGATCATGTTACAGCTTTATTTTCAAAAAGAATTTATGATTGATACATTTTTGCCAAAAAATTAACTCCATTTAAAAAAAAAAACAGGGTCAAGGGGTAAAATTTTATTCCGCTGGGAAATCCAAAAAACTTAAATCCACTAGAAGTCGAAACTAGAAGTCGTTCACGTTTTTCGGTTTTCGTAAATGAAGAGAGCAAGTGTCCTAAATTTTAGCACATGAACTTGAATCTAACTCAAAAAGATACAATTTATGGCATTCGCAAAATCATTCACATTTATGAATGCATTTGTGGCGATAAGAGCATTATAAGACTTTTTTGGGGAAAAAAAAAACAAAAAATCATTAGGACCTACATCAATTAAAATAAAAATGAACGCTCTTTTAAAATTAAAACAGAATCAACACTAATATGCTTGAAAGAAATCAGTTGAGTGCATGCGGCTCCATCCGATTTCATTACACTAACAAAGCGAGAGGCTCTACTTCATAAAGTTGGGTACTTCCAGGCCCAACCTAATCCAACGTACAAAACTGATTAAGAAAGCGTGAACATACATCAGCTCAGAAACATAAAATTAAAGCGGATTATGTTATTACACTAACTGAGCGAGAGGCTCTACTTCGAAAAGCTGGGTACTTCCAGGCCCAACATAATCCAACGTACAAAACTGATTTACAGTGCATGAACATACATCAGCTCGGAAACATAAAATTAAAGCGGATTATGTTATTACACTAACTGAGCGAGAGGCTCTACTTCGAAAAGTTGGGTACTTCCAGGCCCAATATAATCCAACGTACAAAACTGATTTAGAGTGCGTGAACATACATCAGGTCAGAAACATAAAATGAAAGCGGATTATGTTATTACACTAACTGAGCAAGAGGCTCTACTTCGAAAAGTTGGGTACTTCCAGGCCCAACCAACATAATCAAACGTACAAAACTGATTACGAGTGCGTGAACATACATCAGCTCAGAAGCATAAAATGAAAGTGGATTATGTTATTACACTAACTGAGCGAGAGGCTCTTCTTCGAAAAGTTGGGTACTTCCAGGCCCAACATAATCCAACGTACAAAACTGATTAAGAGTGCGTGAACATACATCAGCTCAGAAACATAAAATGAAAGAGGGTTTAAGACTACGTTAACTTGTTATTTATAACTATACTTGTCCTCGTGAATGAGAGGTTTTGATAGGATATGGCCGTTGACCTTGTGATATTGTTTCCAATTATTTTGCTCCTGGTTATCAGAACAGGCTCCTTTTTCTTTTCCCACCGGTAAATCTTTATATTGAATTTTTCTGTTCACTTTGACCAAGTGTTATAAACATAGCCAACAGAAAGTTGGAAAAAATCAATGAACGCAAGGAAACAAAAAATACGTATTTTTTGAAACAGAAAACTGTCGTATTTTTTTCAACTTTCCACTTTCAAAGAAAAAATGGATATCCCTAATGATCTTTATAAAACTCTAGAACAATCCATGATCGACTTTTTTTGATAAAATCAACCCAATTTGAGAAAACTGGATCAATACAAAAAACTTTTATTTCGCAGGGAAATCTGATAATTAAATTTCATTTTCGATCAAGTTCAATTTCAATTTCATTGAAAAAGTCGATCAAGTTTTCGGGACTTTTACACTTTTGCTGGTCGATAGTGGAGTTTTAACAAAGGAAATGAGCTGATATTTAAAAAAAACAGTCAAAATCAAACCGCGAAAAATCAAATTTGAACGTGAACAGATTTTACGACTTCCTGAAATGAAAACCAAAAAAGGTCATCAACAACTATATAAACGACTTCTCAAAAATGGTCGGCTCTTAGAATTAGAATCGCTGATAAAATTCTTAAGAAATTGTGCTGATATCAAAAACACGATACATGCTTAAAAACGTATGAGAAAACTAGATCCAACACTTCATTGGTCACAAACTGTGGTCGGATTTGTTTGTGAATAAATTCATCACATGATAAGACTGACTGGTTCGTAGATTACAACATCGCCTTCGTCAAACCACGAGACGAATCAGACAGTCTATAACTGAATTAAGCTTGTGATCTGCTCTGTTTTGACCTCTCTTGCAGCTTGAAAAACTGACCTGGCTTGGCTTAGCCAACACGCTGATTAATTTTTTCATGCTAGTGAAAAATATTCCACACATCACAAGATGTGTACGTCATCAGTGAAACTAAATATAAAACTTGTTTGATTGGCCAGAAGTTGTGGTCTGATCGATCTATTTTTATTTATGTTGGTAATATGATAAGAGTGGGCAATCAAGCTAACGTTATACTATCAAACAACAAAACAATGCGAGAAAACATATGCGATAAAGCACTAGACTGATCAGAATAAATCTATCACCGAACTGGGCTCGTGAAATGACCATTTTGACCCCTAGTGCAACTTAATTAACTGAAAAAAACTGGTAGCCATGCAAAAATGAGGTGGCGGAAATGAGCCTGGGAACCCACACAGCAATTTCAAGTCCAAGGAAAATTAACTTACTTCAGTTTTGAAATTGAAATTTTCTTTGAAAACTCTCCATAAAATATTACCTTGTAGACAGCATCTCCTGTGCCTCCTTTGAGACTGGCAACTCCCCTGGCAATCCATGTGGAGACACCAAGGTCACATTGTTGAACCTGAACAGACAGAATAATTTGATTAACAGGATTTCTACAAACAGTCCCGACTACAAATAATCTAATAACTCTTGCGCAGAACTTAATAGAATCATGATCTCTTAATGGTTTTTCTTTCAACATTCATGAGACAACTTGCAGGCTGATGCTCTATAAATTCTAGGATCCAGGGTAACTTGATTTACTCAATGATAAAATCAAGACTACTTTCCAGCTTTTTGTCAAACAAGAAGTCAATATTAAGTAAATTGACTCAATTTAGAAACCCTAGCCTAAAAAAGGTTTTATTAAATCACCGAAACACTGAATACGATATAGTTCAAAATTGTTACAGAACACTATTCTCTATGAACCCATTAAAACTACAACCCGACAAATGTAATCCGAGAACTCGCCTCAAATGTGCACTGAACACCAGGGACTCCAGAAACGCCAGGCTGGTGTCGGATGCTCCCACCACCACTATTCTGGCATTGATCGCTATTTTGGGCTCCAGAACCAATTTCCGGTTGAGAGAGTACAGCGCGAACGGGTGTGTTTCCCTCAGTACGCGCTCCGATGGAACGTTGCCTAAAACCAGTTTAAATTACTACACGATTTTTCGGGCCAGCAACCTTCCGTCGTAAAAACAATTGAGTTTTGTTAGACTTTTGAACTACTTTTGTTTCGATACCGAAAAAAATCCAAAATTCTGATACAAATATTTTTAGCTCACTTGTGGCGGTACTTCTTGAGTTTTATACACAAACGACTTGAACTTTTTAACTAGAAAAGTTGAGTTTAGTGATTTCGGATAGCATTCTGTGATGTAAAACTTTCATAGGAATCTAGCAATACAACACCAAAAACGTAAATACATTTTTTAAACTCTGAAGGACTGAGTGTTTTTGCTGCATTTTTACGCAATTCAAATTTCTGAAGAAGGTGAAACGAGTCTTACCATGTAGCATATGCAGTGGGTATGATATCTGTCTTCTGGGTCTGACAGGTACCATCTCCCCCAGACACGTGACTAGAGTGTGTCTCGCTTCCTCCTCGGAGTACTCCCTCTCCCCTGTCTCCTCATTGTACTGGCGGGAGAACACTGGGTAGTACAGACACGACTTACCATCCAGACGCATCACTTCCTAAAATGGGGAAGTTGTATTGATAATTTGATGGAGATAAAATCACAATCACCAACATTTGTCTGCTAATTAAAAAACAACTGGATGGGAATCAAAAATTCTCCGGGCTAGACGTCCGCTTTTGAAAGAAAAAACAGAATCAAGAACACATCCTACATACTTACCTTTCGAAAAGTCTTCGTAAAAAATGTAAAATCATAAATTTAATTTTCATTGATGTTTTTAGAAGGCAGCTAGACAATCGGGAAGCTCTAAGAAACTGACGGGAGACCTTAACCTAACGTTCTTCCTAAATGCTTCAACTAAATCAATTGCAACGAAAAAGCACAAAGTTTACAAAAAGAAGAAAACTTTTCATGACATTCACTACATATCTTTGGACAAACGTCTCCGAACACATCACTCGAAAGGCATTGTTGTCCTGAGCTCAAATTTGAAGAGATTTTTCACCTGTAATCACTTTTCGTAGAGTTACGGGGGTTTAACAATTGTCATTTTGGCCAATTAACGGGCGATATCTTTCGCGCTATTAACGCGTAAGCGAGACTTAATCCGTCTTATAAATCGTTCCAAAATGGTTGAAAGAAGCTTATTTGCCTTAATTGATTTGTTACAAGCAGCGAAATCTATCTTTTTGTAATTTTTCTGCGTGTGGGGGGATGATTTTCATAGAAAAATTTCAAATTTTAGAAAAAAATTTTCATTTTTTTATTTCATTTAATTTTTTAATGTTATTACTGCTCCATAAACCTTAAAAGGCAGTCGGAACATTCACGGCTTCGCCCTGATATGAGCAATCTTGTTTATTTTGGGATTGACCTTCACGAATGACGAATGTGGCAATAAAACATTTATCAAGATTTTAATATATTTTGTATCAACTACCAGATTAACCAACAATTCTTATTCAGCTGAATTTTTTATTTCCTAGATAATTTTCAAGCAAAAACTGTTAATTACCTTCAGGAATGTCCTTGTTAGATGGTGGAATATCGGATTCATCACCATATGGTGCAGATGTCCATGTTCACTCCTCTGATGGTGCGAATAGTACACAAAGTCCTCTATGTTGAAACAACTCTTCAGATACTCTATCTGTTCTTCCTGTCTCACAACACAGATTCCCACCACCTGTTTGGGGGAGTTGGGCAGTCCAGGGCCCCCAACGCAGGCTGAGAAGGCATGAAGAGGGGTGCCGTCCTAAACACAGTACCAACAAATTACTTAAGTGAACTGTACCTTCGGCAGTTTTCGTTGAGAAATAAGAACATAGCCAACATACAGTTGGAACACCACTCAGAAACAATCGTTCGATAATGAAAAATTTTATGACAAAGCCAACGTCAGAGTCGATGAGTAATTTTTGGTGCCAGAAATCGGAAAACGGCGCTACTTTTCCGTACCATGTCGGCATTATTTGAATCGTTCATTCTAAATATAAATACAGTGCTCAGAAAAACTCTGCCCACTTTCGCCGTTTTGTATCATTATAACTATTATAACTTGAAAATTAAATAACAATTATACATACAATCAAAAACTGATTTTAACTTGTCATTTAACAATATTGATGATTGGAATAATACAAACCTTGTCTCTCCTAGCCTCGTTGTACTGTCTGACATCAGCCAGCATCCTATCTCTGTGCTCCAGTCCAGCTGTCAGTCTCTCTATCTGGGCCAGATCAGCCGACAGACACGGACGCACCTCAAAGTCACTGGAACATAACAAACCCAACACAAATTTTAAATTTACTCATCATTTTACAACTTACTTAACCCATGATCCGTGCTCGTTGCTTGAGGGTGAAGCAACATTAACCAGCCCAGAAAAATAACCAAAAAAATTGCATGTAGTTCTTAAGCAGGAGCACAACAACGGTTCTCAAGGATGCGCTGAAAATCTCGTATGTTGGCCCATCCCTTGTGGAAAAGAATAGTCCTAATGAGTTTGGACAACGTTTCGTCAGTTTGTCGAGAGAACTCCATAAAAAAGAGGAGACAAATCGTAACAGGCGACAATTCTTAACAATAAGTACAGCGGCACTTTGATTCCCGCACACAAACTTTCATGTCGAATTTCAGCGCAGCAGAGCAAGTGGTCGCTACTTGCCGATGATGTCCGGTCAATAAGACTAAAGCTGTTAAGACGACCTCTTTTGGTGGGATTTTAAGACGGCGCTCTACGCAATTCTCCAATTGTATTTCTGAGAAATACAATTTGCTCAAATTCAAACAGCTCATTTTAAATGTAATAACATTTATTTGTCGTCTTAATATCTTGTCGTCTTAATGTCTTGTCGTCTTAATGGCCTGTCGTCTTATTTACCTATCATCCTTGCCAATACCTTGTTACGAATTGTCTTATGTTATCAATTGTCACCTGTTACATGTTATACCCCAGTTTATAAAAAAATTTCAGGAGACCTCCGAGAATCAGTTTTGTAAAAAAAAAACACAAAGAAGATCCACATTTCTATCGAAAAAGCTACTCAAATTCCAATAAAATTACGATAAATGTTATGTTTCGGGGCTTGCCGTAACACAAACTAGTTCGCCAATTTTTATTAGCTCCCGGTCCTGATCCACGCCTGACCAACCGTGGGGAAGGATAATGTCATCCATTTATCCGCAGCCGATCCCACCTTGAGGAGGCGAATGACACTAGGTCCCCACCAATCGCCAATTTTTGATGACAGATGTGAGATTTGAATCTAGTTCACCACGAACAAATCCACGAGGCTTGAAGGTAAAACGAACTCACCTGAGCAGTCCATATCGGTTGAAGATGTACAACTCCTGGCCCAGATTACTCTGCACACGCGGAGTCACTCTCTAAACAACCACATATCGTCAACAGTGTCTCATTGATTCCGTCGAAGAATACCAAAGGGTATCTTTTGAAGGACTACAAGGTTATTTATCAAGTTAAAAAAGAGCCAAAAATACCTTCCTTAAAAAGAAACCATGCGTTATCCAGTAACGGAATCAACCGATACAAAAACATAGATGTCATCATTTTTGATTTATTCTATGATTCTATCCAAAAAATTTTGAACAGCTCCAAATCTAACCAGCATTTTCGAAAATTTTATTCGAAGATTTTTGAACGGCTCCAAATCTAACCAGCGTATCTTCCCATTATCGAACTCAAAACACGTTGTAAAGCTGAATGACGATAATATTCCTTTAACCATATGAGTTTTTATACTCATATGAAAACCACTAGCAAGAATTTACTCACCACAAATTGTTGCAGGAGCATGAACTCCGGCACCAAATGGGGCACAGTCAACACACAGTAGTCTCTGTCCGGGTAACACTGGAATGCACTGGCTAGGAAGTCCCCACTTCTGGTCTCCAACTCCTCCCTCATGCAGAACAGTTGGATGCAGAAACAGTTGCTCTCTCCCTGTTGTAATAAACTAGTTCAACTAAAGTCATGGGCAATAGAGTGCGGTTAAAAAGTTACATGTCATAAAGTAGAGTAGACAGGTCGTAAGCCAATCACCATCGAGATTTAAAAAACAAACGTACCGAGTATTTTCTTTTCTCTATTCTGATTGGCTTACAACGTGTCTGCTTTATAGAATGTCTACTTTTCGCAACGTAACCGTGTGAATTGATTTCCATTTGAAAAAAATGCTGATAAAAGAAATAAATATTTTAAAGTTCAACTTAAATTCATGGCTGAGTTTTTTAATTTCTACAGAAAGTGTATTTCATATAAAAATTTATTTTTTCCATTGTTTATTTACATGGACTTCACTATTACTGATCAAGAGATCTCTTCAACTACTCCTAGGTACAATATTTACATCATAGTGACCATAAAATAAGTCATTTATGTAGCGTTGGCGTTGGATATTCTTTTCTAGTAAGCACCGCAGGGGAGGGGAAATAATTGAAGATTTTTTCGGCAGAATGAAATTTCGATTACAAGCACGATGAGCTTTTCCAAAAGCTGCTTATATCTCAGGGTTAAAACATCATGTTGATTATTTCAAAAAAAAATAAAAGTGGATATGACGGATTACCTTGTATTCTGGCACAAATGGGACTGGGGCTGCAATGGTTGAGAGTGAGACCGGCGGTCTGGTTGAGGTCTTGGACTTGTTCGTCGAGTGGGATTTATCACCCGAGTGATGACCTTCATCGTCACTGAAACAAATCGACGTTCTTTTTTTCCTTTTCTTCCAACTCACATAAGCATTATTTTATAATGCAACGTGCGGCTTAACAAGGTCGGTTGTGAAGAACAAATATGCATGCAATGCTTCATCAATTCGCAAGTCAGTTATTATCGCAAGTTCAAAAACGATCGGACGTTGTGAGCAAACGTAATAATAATAAATAATAAATTGTCTTCAGGCTAGTATTTCAGTAGTGCTTGTTATAAACCGCATTTACAACCATTAAACATTAGCCTGAGAGATAGTCATGAGACCTTCTGCTTCGTTTTCAGACTTCTCTGAGCGGAAAAAATTAAATTGTTTTCTTAATAACCTCCGATTTTCATCGGTATCGACCAGAACGCAAAACCTCAAACAAACGTGGTTTCACAGAGGGGGATCTCGAACTGCTTAACGTGTTAGTGACTTACTCAGGTAGTGAAGGAGTGCTCAGTCCATAATGAGTTCTGCAGATGGCTTCAGTCAAATGGGAAAGAGTATCTCTCAGAAGAGTGGCATCTTGGGCACAAGAGAGAAGTGACATCTCCATCACTCCCACACTGTACTCAGCCGCCAAGTCCTAAAAACCAGCCATTTTCATTAAAGAGAATAGTGGATCTTTTATGATTTTAAAACCACACCAAGCATAAAAATTATTTTTCATGTATAATTTTCAACACATTCTACGTGTAATTAAACTGCATTCAAATTTAATTCAACCTCTCGTAAGGGTATCAAAGCGCTACCCGAACTCAAAATAATAATATGTTTCAACATCGACAAAGATTAGAATTTATGGGTTATCCATCAATTTTTATAAGCTGTAGATAAAGACCAAACTAGCAACAACAATTAAAGAAGGATGTTGATTGAGGACCAGAAGCCTCTAACAACAAGCTGCACATTTTGACGATATTATTGCAAAACATTTCCATTTTTGAAATGAATTTGCAATTACGATGACACGAACACATTGTTAATTATTACAGAGGTGAAGACGCACTTCACGAACACCCTGAAAAACACCTTCAAAGTTAAATATCTCAGGCACTACATGACTTGAACCCGGAGCTCCATATCAACAGTCACTGGCCGTAACCGCTCAGCCATGGCTTGTTTTATTCTCAGACAAGGTATTCTATCGAAAACTAGAATTGTGTCACGTCAATTATGACAACTTGAATCAACTGGTAAAACTTACTCTTCCAGAGGATGATTATTGGCTTAAACTGTGTCAATTTTTTTCAATGATAAAAAATGAAAGCTTTTTTCCGGGTGTTTTAACTGAAATAAATACTTTGTTTTCGCAAAAATCAGGTACCACACAATCATTAGAATGGCTCGAGCGATATAATATATTAAAGCACTCCGAGTCAACATTCGAATGACAAGAAAAAATTCCAAAAGTTTGATCGGTATCGAGAAAGATTGGTTTGAAAAACATAGCCAACAGACAATTGGAAAAGAGTCAATCAACGCAAGGAAACAAAAAATGACTTACTTTTTGAAAAAAACTTCAACTTTTGAATTTCAAAGCAAAAAATAAATAATCCTAAATTTCTAGGAACTTCAACAACAATTTATGAACGGCACTTATTTTGACTAAACTAACCCACTTTGAGAATGGTGGATCGATAGGAAAAAAATTTCGCTGGAAAATCTTTTTCGTGACCTTTACACTTCCACAGTTCGATAGTGGAGTTTGCCTTCATTTACACAAAAGAATTGAACTGATCTCATAAAGAAATCAAAAGTCAAAACGCAAAAATTCCTGAAAAAAAAATCACAGAGACCTATAAAATAGTCTTCACAAGGTTCAGTGACTGTTAATTCACCTTAGTCTAATTTCGAGCGAGTAAAGCGAGCAAGAAGGTCTTATAAGACCTACTCGCACAAAAGTTGACTTTCAACTTTCATTCAAGTAGTGACAATTAGATTTACCCCAGGAGAACTAGTTTTGGAAGCTTCATTTGGAAATAATACGAAAAAACTTCGGAAACAAATTTTTCCAAAGTATACCTAACTCGCTAACTTTCTATGCTTTCGTATAATTCTTTTCTCAAGCCACGCACAAACTTGAAGAAAACACAAGAGAAACGAATTTGTCCTTGCTTCAAGTTGATTTTGTTAGCTAGAATCACTTTAGCAATACTTTGGGTTTCGAGGCCAGATATCTTTTTGATAATAGTTTGAATTATTATAAAAATTTTGACAGATCCAATATCTAGCTTATTCATAATCACTTCATTTCCAATGACAGTTTTCTATCATAAAGAAAATAACGACTTTTGAATTGTAAAGAAAAAAATACGCCCTTAAATGTTTTTTGTACTTTACGAACAATTAATGATTGCTTTTTGATAAAATTAACCCAATTTGAGAAAACTGGATCAATAGGTAAAAAATTTTATTTCGCTGAAAAATCTGATAATTAAATTCCAATTTCGAAATTAGAAGTCGTTCACTTTTTTTGGTGACCTTTATGCTTTCGAGTGAAATTTGCCTTCCTTTTAACAAAACAAATGAACTGAACTTAAAAAGAAAAGGTCAAAACTCGGAAAAAACAGCGTCAACAAATTTTTCTGGAAAAAACCAAGAAATCATCGCGACTTGTATAGAGTCTGAAATAATTTCATCGACTCTTAAAAAGCCACTATGTTCTTTGCTCTGAATAAGAGTCTTAGAATTATAATCGACTTTCGGAAATAGCAGTCATTCACATTTTGCGTAACCTTTACCATATAGCTGTTCGACAGTGGACTTTGCCTTTCTTTAAACAAAAGTCAAACCACAAAAAAAAATCAAATTTGCGTCGGAACAATTTTTAGACTTTTCCTGAAAATGAAACAAAAAATCATCACGACCTTTCTAAATGCCTTCACAACTTTCATTGACTCTTTAAAAAATACGAGAACATTTCTTTAAAACACTAAGTTTATCACATTAGTGCCATGTCTTGAAGCGATGTGAAAAAATAACTATACACAAGCGTAGCAAGGGAATAATTAGGCATGATTTACAACAGTCTTCAATAAAAGAAATCAAAAACGAAAATTTTCTGTTTTGCAATAGTTTTTCAATACTAGAAAATTTTAATGCCAAAGCGCTAAATGTAGCTTACAAAACTAGTTTTCGTTCAGTTAAGTCAAACATGACCACTTTTCATTTAACGAACGTTTCTCGGTCGCTTTGATCGCTAATTAGAAACTTAATAACTTCAAACCGGTTTTACTCAACTCTGGCATATTTTTTTGAAATTTTTGTAATATCGTTCGAATCAAGACTGAAAGGGCATCAATGTGTTATATCACTCGACCCGTTACAATGATTATTTGTGGTATCTTAAGTTGCGTGGAAACACAAAGAAAAGAAGACTAAAACACACCCGAATACCAAGTTCCTCCCCATCTTCAATGGTTGGAGCATCAAAAGGAAAACATAGTCAACAGACAAGTTGGAAAAGGTCCAATTGACTCAAAGAGGCTGACAAAATACTTCTTTGAAATTACCTATAGAATCTATCTTCAGATATGAAAAAACAAACTGCGAAAAATTAATATTAAGCGTGAACAAACCTTTCAGACTTTTCCTGAAATATTATTTTAAAAACCTCATAGCTCATGCAAGTCTTCATTAGGTTCATCATAATATTTTTCTCAACAAAAAGCAACACGACCTAAATAATTTCATTGACAATACAAAACGACCGTTACCGTAAAATTAGTTTCCCAGTTTGAAAGAACGATATACATCAACTTCAGGCGCCTTCAATTTCCAAAACAGCTTTTTTTGCTTGACACTAATCAACTTGAACTTGTCCAACTTGGGAAAACAGTGATAAAAAAAAGGTTTTTTTTTCATCCAGCTGGCGATTTAAAAAATTTATAAAATCAATATGCTAGGTTAATCGTAAGTGACTCTGGTTTCGTCTGTGTCCGTCAAATCTTTGTCACCATCTTCCACCTCGCGAGGAAGATGAATTGTTTTGATTTCCACAAATCCAGGGCTGATCTGGACATACTACATTCGTTTTGAACCAGCTGAAAGTAACGAAATCACCCGGATTCTCATACGGTATTCTTGTAGTCCATTCGTGTCCAATTTTTAACATATAAGGGATACCTTGACGTTCGTCTATCATTCCACGCATATGATTCGCTCTTCTAAGAGCTCCGACTCCAAAACCTAACTCGGTGATTATATTAACCTGACATTTATGGTCATAGTACGATAAGATGTAATTCAGATGTTTACCTTCCTCGGAATAGTCAAAAAGTTTTGCCATATACTCCATCGGTGTAAGTAAAGCTTCCCTAAACCCATATGTAAAATAATAGTAGAATTGACCTTCGCAACAGCCTTCTATGAATAAAAAATGGTTATGTTGCTCAAATACTGGTTCAAAGAGACGGTCGCATTCTTCTATAATATATGTCTTCAGTTTGTTAAATAGATTTATAGCCGGATCTCGGGCACGAAATCTATCGCCTGTTTGTATTTGATATGCTGGATTATATCAGGAGCGGTTTTAAAAAATGTCATATCTGGATCAATATTAATATTTCTACAAGAAGTTTCTATAAAAATTAGGTATTTTGGCATTTCAAAAGAGCAAATAATTGGCTAGGCCGAAAAAAGATAAAGAGGTCGAATACATTTTCAAAAACTGTTTTCTCAATTACCCTTTCCTTAGCCCCGCTCTTGGAGGGCTTCAGCGTGTGGCGGAGAATATTTGGCTTACGTACTTTTGGAGTTGTATTGTTATGTACATTCTGATTTAGTACTGAGCCTAGTCTCATGAAAAAAGGACTGAACTTGCAAAAAAACCTAACAATCAACGTCCTTTAAACTTGTTCAACGAATTTTTGAAAACAGAGTTCTGATTGACTGACATAACGTTCGGACATTCGGCTCTTCAAGCACTAAAACCTCCCCTTTTGATATTGGGGCGAGAGGGGGGGGGGTATTTTTTAAAACTCCCCTTTTGATAGTGGGGCGAGGGGGTTAGTTTTGAAATTAATCCGCATCTTAATATTGACCTACTCCTTACTCGCACTTTTTATTGTACCCATTTCGAGTTTTCCAAAGCCGCCCCTGGGTTATTTCTATCATCATCAGTTACAAAAGCATTTAGACAGTAGTAAACACTGTGCCTTTGACAAAGTGACCAGAAATCGTTATCGTTAAAAGGCTTGCCCACGGGAATTAAGAATTGCAAAGAAGACCAGGCTGACACGAACGTGGATTTAACAACAATGTCATTTGCTGATCCAAATATGAAGCTAGATAACTGAGTAGTATGCATATAGTGCACTAGGATCGGGGGGGGGTTGTCATACATGGATGACCATTAGGTATAAATCATAATGGTCACCATGTATTAAATGATCAGCAATGGTCACCATGTAATAATCCTAATTGTCACCATGTATAATTTTATACCTAATGGTCACTATGTAATAATCCTAATTGTCACCATGTATAATTTTATACCTAATAGTCCTCATGTAAAACTTCGGTATATTATTGAGTATTCCCACTGAACGTTGTGGAAACGGGAATGGAATTATGTTTTGGTCG